AATTAAGTCCACTGACATTTAAATACTGGATTGGTGACTTCCTAGCCATAATCCTGGACATATTACCCACTCTCCCTGAGGTTCAGATTCTTTATTAATAATGTGGGCTTATAATGCCTATTATAAAGGTAAGGATTAGGTTTTGCTATTATTACAGAAAAGTTCAGATACCATTGACTTGAATGAAATGGAGACTTTTAAAATTTTTCTTCTATAAATGTAGCAAGGAGATAAAGAGGCAAGGTCACTGTGAAATTCCCTCCCCTTACGCTAGCTTTAGGGAACCCCCAACATCATTTCAACATTCAAGGCTACAGGAACTGTGTGTGTATGTGTGGGTGCAGGGAAGGTGGGTAAATACAGGTCTGTGTCCCTGATGAATTTCTGTTATTAACGGATTGATCACAGCTTAGTTTCATGACCAGAACTCACTGCCCATTGCTCCCTTTCCCTTAATAATTAGAGTTCCATCACTAAAAAAAGAAGGTAGAATGGATATTGCTACAAAATCATTTATGTCCCCACCTTTGCACCCATAAGGATGAAAGAGATAATTTATGTCAAATGCCTGAGCATAGTAGATGCTCATTAAATACCCATTCTGTTCTTACTTTACAGCAATTTGTCAGGAGATGGGACTTCAAGGTGGACCACACTAGCCCAGGGTCTTCCCAACTTTCTGTATGAAAGAGAGAAAAAGAATCATAAATTCCATTAATTGGCAGTAACAGGAAGAAACGGAATAGGAGAAAATAAAAAAGATAATTATAATTTCCATTTGCTGAGGTTAGGTGTCAGATGTTGTACTTAGGGCTTGGCATTGACTTCTCATAGTCGTCTTACAATGTAAGACAAATGCTGTATTTTACCCTCTTCTACAAAAGAAGAAAAGGAGACTGGGACTGTTAACCACCAATCTACTGGTGGCCTGGTAACTACCGAATGTTCAATCCAGGGTCCATATTCAAGGATGATGTCCATCTCCAAAGCCAGTGGTTTGAACCTTTAGACTACATTACCAAACCATCCATTCCTGCCAGTCTTCATCACGCCGTATGTCCTTACCAAACTTCCACTCTCTGCCAGGCCTTGTTTTGAAGCCCAGCAATACAGACAGGGTGGGGAGTTCAAATTCATAGGCTGGTGGGGGAAATTAAGCAAGTGGTAACGTGGGTGAAATAAGGAGTGCAGGAGGGGGGGGCAGGGAGCAACAGAACAAGTAGAAGATGACGGACAGGTGGTCCAGGAAGGCCACCGTCAGTGGGAACTGCATGGAAAGAACCAGCAAGCAATGATTTGGGGCCAGGAGGCCCAGGGAGCAGCAGCAAGAGTCCAGAGGGAAGGTACTTGGCTTGTCTTAGGAGGAAGCAGAGGAGGGCCGGCCAGAACAGAGGCAGAGCTCGCACAGGTGGAGGAAGGTGGCCTCAGGGTGACATTCCTCCAGGAGCACCTGTGGCCACGAGGTTTGTCATTACAGGAAAGAAAGCTCATTCTTGACTTATTTTTCAATGTTGGGTCAAGGTCAGGCCATGGGTCTTTGTCAATTTTTTTTGTTGCTATAAAAGAATGATCCAGACTGGGTAATTTATAAAAAGTAGTCGTTTGTTTGGTTCATGGTTCGGGACTGGGAATCTAAGATCCAGGGGCCATGTCTGGTGAGGACCCTCTTGCTACATCGTTGTAACATAGTGGAAAGCATCACCTAGTGAGAGAGAGAGAGAGAGAGAGAGAGAGAGAGAGAGAGAGAGAGAGAGAGAGAATTCCTTTCATGGGAGCCTCCTCCCACGAGAGCTAACACACTCTCAGGATAAAGGCATAACCCATTCCTGGGGGCAGAACCTTCATGACCCAGTGAAGGTCCCAGCTCTTACTGCCATCCCCACAGCCGTGAAACTTCAACATGCGTCTTGGAGGTGACTTTCAAACCACAAGGTCATAGGACCAGGAAAGTCACACTTCATTCCATGGTTGCCTGTGGCCCTATAGGGGATTCCTCATTAGAGAGAGGCAAGGACATTCTGGGGTGGCCTTTGCCTTACTCCAGGTTGAGCAAGTGTCCGTGTTGCTGTGGAGCATGAGAGAGTGAAGGGCAGAGGCGAGCTGCCACTGCTGACCGTCGAGAGCCCCTTGTGGGCAGGCCCGGTGGAGGGCGCAGGTGTGGTTGCTCAGGTGGGTGCGGAACCTGGGCTCCTGCAGGATCCATCAGCGCGTGCTAGAACCCACCAGGTGATGCTGTCCAGGTCACTCCATCAGCACGTGGCTGCTCCAGCATCGAAACCTGGGGCGAGAGGTGGCCCAGCAGTTTGGGAAGCAGGCGGTCCAGGTCTGGCCTTAGTAGAAAGACTGAGACAGCTGGATGCCCCCAGGGTCCCGAGGTGAGGACCGGGTGCCCAGGGAAGGAGCCCAGAACTGTCCCTCAGAGCACCGCCTCAGGACCAACCCTGCTGCGTTGGGTCTTGAAGATGGAAAATTGCAAGAAACAATGGAGGGAAAGAAAAAATACCAAATGGGACAAGATTGGGGATGTGACGGGTGTCCATCTTGGCTCCAGAAGGTGATGGGACCGAAGTGATCTGGCCAGGAAGAGGAGTGACTGCAGATGCCTTGAGCCGGGGCTCCTGTGGGGCACCAGGATGACGCGATGGGCTCCGACACTGAGGCGGGGGTTATAAATGCAGCTCTGGCCCTTCAGGATGGGAAGTCCCGTAGGGAGCCCCAGGGGACAATGCCATCAGGTCTCCGAGGTGATGGTCACATCGCCAGCCAGCCTTGAAGTCTGCACAGGGCTAGGCTGGCGGTCTGGGAAGGCAGGGACTCTGGGGGACTTCGCTTTGTGCAGTGAGCAGGGAAAACCACGTGTCCCTCTTTGTGCATTCTCCTCTGCTGCTGACCCTTGACCCTCACGCAACCCAATTTTTCTTGAGTGCTAAATGATGGAGACAGAAAATTAAGCTGGAGCCCAAGTACTTCATCTGCTGTTCGTTTCCTTAATTGTATTTCCTACACATTCTTTATAAATAGATTTAAGCAAGACACTATGTTCTTTAAATTGTGCATTTCTGTTGTTATGGAAACAGATGCTTTTATTTCTGCCCCCCCACCCCCACCCCCAGCCATGAAGTAGAAGTTAGTACCTGTTTTTTTTTCAGGCAGGTGAATTATCTACTGACCCTGGTCTCTAAGAAGGTCTCCAGGGAAGGGTCGGAGTGACCTGCCTTGGCCTCTCTGCAGGGAGAAGATCCGGTGAGCTCCTGAGAGTCTCAGAAGACACGGTCCGTCCTAACCCTTCAGATAAGTGCCTCACTCCCAGATTCATAGACTGTTGGAACTAAAGAGGAATCTCTAAAGAGATAATCCTCATAATAATCATTTCAAATCACCTTACGGTGCACATGCAACCTGTTAATTAGTCTCTGAAGGAACCTTGGAATTAAATCATTTGTTCGAAAACATTTACCAAACACTAATACGGCGCTGGGGCAGACACAGGTAATCAACCCAGAACATTGAATGGTGACTGTCACACGGAAGGGACTCAGCAGATATTTCTCTGTGAGTGAGTAAAGCTGTCCCCTCCTCCGGGATGCTGGGGGATATAAACATTTAATGGTTACAATGTTCTGTGCCACATGCTTGGATATGGATTGGTACGCAGCGTGGTGGGAACAGACACCGGCTCATAATTTTCCTTCTCTATTTTTTTTTTTTGCAAGAAGTGAGAAAATTAAAAGCAGAAGATTAGAAGGGAAAATATCTGGCCATCTAGCCTAGCTATTTAGTGGCCGAATTATATAAAGCATCCAGGTTTCCTGAATCCTATTCTGATAAGGGTTTTTCCTAGATGATGTCAATGTCAGAACAGCTCTTCTGAAGCCTTGGTAGGCACACAATCACCAGGTGTAATGGACTGAATATTTGCCCTGGCTCCCTACGTTGCATTCCTACCTCTTTATGAGATGGAATTAGGAGGTGGGTCCTTCAGGAGGTGGCGTAGGTGACATACAACTCACACGAATGGGATTAGTGCCCTTCTAAAAGAGGCTCTGAAAAGCTTGCTTGTTCCTACCACTGTGTGAGGACATGGTCATGAATGGAAACAAGTCCTTGCCAGACACCAAATCTGATGGCACCTTGGTCCTAGATTGCCCAGCATCTAGAACTGAGAAATAGATGTTATTTAGGCCCCAGATCTAAGGCATTTTTGTTATTGCAGCCTGAATGCACAGATACCCCTGGAGATGTTACAAATGCTGGCTCTGCTTCTGTTAGTCTGGGGTAGAGTTTGAGATTCTGCACCTGTGAAGGCACATAAGGTCTATGGTAAATACAAGGAGCCTATAATGTCTCAATAAACACAAGGGCAGAACCTAGTTTCTGTTCAACTCACAAAGTATTCATTGAGCATTTACAATATACCAGTCAACCTGCTGGGAGCTAGGGTTATGGCAGCTAAGGATAAGAGCATGTTTTCATGGAATTTCTCTTCAGGAGGAGCTGAGAAGCTGGGCAGGCAGTACAATAAAACTGATTCTGCTGGCTGTAGTCTTCATGATAAGGCAACAAGGATACAGAGAAAAGTAAAGTTAGGGAAAGAGAACAGGCAGCATTTGAAGATGGGGAGTTTGTGGTTATAAAAGGAATTACAGGGAAGACTTCTCCACTGATATGAAGAGTTTAAGGAAATGAGGGAGGATGTAAAGATATCTGGGAAAGAGTATCCCAGGAGGAGGAATAGCAAATTCAAAGGCCCTGAGGCAGCAGGCTGGCAAGACATGGATAGGAAGTAGCTGTGGCTGTAATGGAGCATTGAACGGTGGAATTTGGTGGAAATTGTTCCAACCAAAAAAAAAAAAAATGCATGATCTCTTGGGCCTTTGTAAGAACTTTAGCTTTTACTTGGAGAAAGAATTCTTTGGAATTCCATGTGCAGAGGAGTGATATGATCCCACTTGTGTTTCAAAAGGATCATCCAGACTCCTAGAGAGAATAGAGTGTAGAGAGAATGACATTAGTCATCACCCTCGGTAGCCCTGGTGGGTCTCCCCTACAGTCTGGGATGGAGTTGGCCCTGGAGATGGTCACATGCCCTCTAGTGTGCCCTGAACTTCGCAGCCAGAGGACACTCCATGTGTGCTTACTCCTGGCAGGTGGATTCCCCGCAGAGAGCGTGCTCACGGGGAAGATGCAGATCCATCCTCCTCAGGTGTGCAGCTGACTGGGGGGGGGGGGGGGGGGGGGGGTGTTTAAATTAGGAAATATCTCACAATTTCCACAAGTGGACGTTAGTTTGATTTAGCCAATTGCTGACTGGTTTCATGCTAAGGGACTTGTATGGTCTGAGACACAGTCAATTCATTCCCTGTTTAGGAATGAGCCGGTTAGGGATGGGTTTGCTGTTCTATTATTAAAAGAAATGGATCTGTCAGAGAGCAGCATATATAGCCCTAACAGCCCACTTTTGGTGGATGAATGCATTTAAAGAAAAAAAAAATAGCTAAGACCTGGACTGAATTCTGGAGAAAATCAGACCTGCAGAATTTTAAATGACAAGTCGTCTTAGATATTGCACCATCACCTTATTTTACTAACTCAAAACCTGATGCTCACGGAGGCCAGTGAATTGCCCATGGCCGGCTCATTACTAATTGGGGACACTCGTCCCCTAATCCCAGAGGCTTTTCTCTGGTGTCACAGACCAGAGTAGGTAGCTGTGGCTCTGTTCCACAGGGTCCCTCAGGAACCCAGGTGCTTTCCATTTCTTTTATTTTATTTTTTTGGTGCCTCCATCCCACAGGTCCTCGGAGATGGCTGCTTTAAAGACTCTGAGGACGGTGCCCAGGAGGTTTTGACAAGGTGGACCGAGAGGTGGTGCGTATCGTTTCTCACATTCCCCCGGACAGCACTCAGTGTCATGGTCACTAGACAACGCTGTCTAGCTGTGTGCCCTGGAAGAAAAGAACGTGGACATCGATGGACATCAGTCCTGCAGATGTGGGGTCGGGCAGCAGCACCCAGCCAGGGCAGTGCCACAGGCCTCTGTGCATGTGCTGCCATGCTGCCCGGGCTCTCCCCCTCACCTCTCTTTCTGTCCACCCCTCTCTCCTTTCACTGATGTGTGGTGACCATCTACTGAAGACAGGGTTGTGGGGAGACTCAAGCTGAAGGAAACATGGACCCCGAGGGCCCGTTGGTACAGTTTAAAGGTCAAACAGGCAGAAGAGACGGACTTAGAACATGGGCAGGACGGATACCTGCCCCACGTGTGGCCAGAGTGCTCCCTGGGCAGCAGCAGGGAGCCAGCAGCTGGAGAGAATGGTTGGACTCCAGCCGTGTCCTGCACCAGCCGTGTGACCGGGGCCTGATGGGCCTCTCTCAGCTTATACCCACCTTAACGTGGGTCAGTGGGATCCTCCAGGGGTGGCGCGGGAGGGTGTAAGTATTCCTGAAAGGCTGCTCTGGCAGGTGATGGTACCCCACGCACGTTGGTCCTCTTTGGTCAAGAAATGCCCAGAGGAGAGGAAAGGACTTCCTGCCAGAGAGGTGGAGAAGGCTGCTGGTGAGGTGGCTCTTCACTCTAGTGGAAGATGTAAGGGTCAGGACGGGCCAATTGAACATTCTGTGACTACAGGGTAGTGGCCTGGTTGTGGCTCCTGTCATAGTTGTAGCAAACGGTGGCTTAAACAACACACATCTCTCTCTCAATTCCTGAGATCAGAAGTCTGAACTGGGTTTCGCTGGCTGGCATTCAGCGTTAGCAGGCCACCTTCCTTGGCGCTCTAGTGGGGAATCCTGTCCTTTGCCCTGTCCCGCTGCTGGGAACCACCTGGATTCCTTGGTTCATGGCTTCAGAGCCAGCAGCATGGAAGTGCAGTGCTTCGACCTTGACCCTCCTGCCTTCCTCCCACGTTGGGCCCACCTGCATCATCCAGGGCCCTTTCGCCATGTAGGGTAATGTTCACAGACCTGGGGACTAGGGTGCATCCTCCTTGGGGGGCCTTTATTCTTTCTATTACACATGGTGAATCTGTTGATCAGGAAGTCCTGACTCTGTTACACACCCTGCAGTGAGTTGGGTAGGGGGAAGAACATCTTGTGCCTTGTTTGGTATCTGCAGAACCTTTACTGGGTATCAGCTCAGCACCATGAGAGACAACTTGGTTCCTGTAGCTTTCTAGGGCAGGAAGGGAGAGAGAGGTACACAGATGATGTCTGGTTACCTGCCAATCATCCCTGTACTAATTAGCTAATCCTGGAAATTCTATATGACAAGATCTTTATTTCCTTTAAGTCTTTTTTTAAAGCATGTGGGAAAGAAATGGGGAGCTGGGGAAGAAGTTGCATTATTAGTTACTAATATTCATTTGGACTTCTTTGGTATAAATAAGTTTTTTATTTATTTTTTGTTATCAGGAAGAAATTTAATGAAGATAAGAAAGTAGGAAATAAAGATGTTTGGTGCTTGAATGTGCAGGAAGGAGTAGAATCCAACAGTGTGGGGGTGGGTTTGGTTGGGCTCAGTAGCTAAAAGAGGGAGCTTTTCAGAATGTAGTTCTGGGACCTATGGATGATTATCTCCTTCAAATATGGTCTCTACCTGCCCGGTGTCAATCCTGGATTTTCTGGGCTGTCTCCACCAGCATTTCTCCCTGTGCTTGCATAGAATTAATATACGCTGATCCAGATCCTAGCATCTGAATGCATACAGTGTCTCTTCTCAACTTCTAAGCCTGTCTCCATTGGAAGCCCTCTAGTGGAGAGGGTCTAGTAATTCCAAACATACACGGGTGTCTCTGGAACCATCTCCAGATTGGAAAGGATGGGCAGGAGACTCTTAAGGGTGCTCCCCTCTCCATATGATTACATGATTAGCCAACAAAGAGACCCAAACCACGTCTTCTGACTCATCAGGATCTTGTTGTGTCTGCCACCATTTGGGGCACAACCTCAGGGCTGCATCAATGGAAATGGCACAAACATTTGAGCTGGTTTTGCAAGGCTAGAGTTATGGAGAGCTGCAGGCTGGAAATTAAATTGGATTAAGGACAGGTATTCTTTCCTCAGCACAAAAAAAAAGAAGTTATAAGTGAGTATGGAGTTTCTGCTTCTGTTGAGTTAGACATGAGTTCTCAATGTGGGAGAGCTGAGGAAACCTTTGGGCATCCAACAGAAAGAGGCCTAATGGAGAGCAGTCCTGCTTCAGCTCCAGCCACAGCAGGTAGTATGGGGCGTGGTACTGTATCAGTTTGTTTAGGCTGCTGTAACAAAATGGCAGACAGGTTGGCTTAAGCAACAGCTGTTTATTTTTTCAATTTTCTAGAGGTTAGAAGTCCAAGATCAAGGTGTTGGCAGGGTTGTGTACTCCTAAGGCCTCCTTTACATTCTCAATGACTCCACATGTAGCCTTTCTGTGTGATCAGGCCCTCCTGGTGTCTTTCTTCATAAAGCACCAGCCATATTGGATCCCAGTTCCATCCCCAAGACCTCATTTAAGCTTAATTATCTACAAAGTCTTCATTTCCAAATGTAGTTACATTATAGGTTAAAACCTTCAATTTTGATTTTGAAGAATCCTTGGGAAAATGGCTACTGGAAACCAATTTCATTCTAGAAAATATCCCATAGAAACATATTTAGCGAGAATTTACTGGGAAAAATACACATCAGGAAGAATTATCACTACAAATCCTCCCTAGGAAAAATATCCTCTGGAAAAAAAATATCCATTATAAAAATGCTCACCATGAAAATATGTAGCAGCAATTTCCATTGGGGGGAAATAATTACAAAAAGAAAGGGGTAGAGGAGTGTGATCCTTTGAAGAACTTTTCAAAGAAAAATGTCTTCCAGGAAAATTTTCACTAAGAGATTAAACTACCACTCACAACATATGCCCAGGGAAGTGTAGCAATAAATCCCACTGTTCTGTATAATTATGATGTACCAATAAATATGGGAAATACATGCACAGGGAAAATTACCTACTGGGAAAAAAATCGCACCTAGTATGAAAACTTCTGCAGAAAAATATCCCAAGTGGGATAAATACCCACTTGGAAAATATGCACACAGGAAAATCATATTTATTAGGAAAATGACCTTTGACTGTATTCCTACTGTGGAAACCAGGGAACCAGGTTTATTCTGTGTGTGCTGTGTCGTGTGAAGAGTGTCACACACATTAGCTCACTCCTCGTAAGGGCTCTATGAGGTGGACGCTATTGTATGCTCCATTTCACACAAGAGGAGACTGAGGCACAGTTAGGCTACTTGAAGTTCCTACGAGTGCTTATAAAAGGAGATTCTGTCCCAGGGCCTAGAGTAAAACACAATTCCTCCAGGAGCCACTGGGACACTTGAACACCCAGGAGAACATTCTTTGGTGCTTTGGGAAAACACAGTCCCTGGGGAAATATTCACCAAGACTCTCGCCTACCTAAGTCTTCAGTTTGGGTTGCATAAACCCAATGAGATGGCCAAGTCATGCGATGTTCTGAACTTTGGGCTGCAGGAGCCTTATTGCAAATTGGGGAATGTGCTGGGAGTCCTGAGCTCTCTTGATCTGTGGAAACCCCTACCTGCCTATGACTGACCCCATTTGGATGTCAGCCTCGTGAGATTGGGTCCCTGCCCATGTAGTTCACTTCTGCATTTACCGTAATTAGAAAAGTTGGTGCTTGATAAATAAGTATGTCTAAAAGAAGGAATGTCACCCACGGTGAGGGCAGAGTGGTTAATAATTGGGGTGCTAGAGAGAGATGTCCTCCAACTTGAGTCCCAGAGCCACCATTTCCTGGCCTTGGCTACCAGACTCCTTAACTCTCATTTCTTTGTCTGTGCTGTGGGGACAGCGAACCCTTCTCCTGTGGTTCTTGGAGGAATTCAGTTAGGCAGTGCCTGTGGGTGAACCCGGGGCCCGATACGTGGTAGGCCATCAAGAAATAATCAGAACCGCTCCTTCCCCTCATGAAGTTTAGAGTTAGGTGGCTTGTCCCCAAGTTCACCAGCACCCCCTTTAAGAATCTAGATGGGAGGCAGGAGTCCAGACAAGCTGCTTATTCAAGTCCAGAATCTGCAACTCACTGTCAGCTCTGGAGATCAGAGGCTCTGCTGGGTTCCATCTGCTTCTGTAATAAAACATAAATTATTAAACCCATAAAATATTGATGAACTGTTTTATAAAACAGAGGGATCTTAATGTATCGATTATGATCGAGAAAGTCTTCGTGAATTTCAGGAGGAAAAATGACTGGGCGATGATAAGCGGGTTGGTTTGCTCTGTGCCCCTGAAGATTGCAGCTCGGAGAAGGTGCCCCCCGAGTCCCATTATTCTCGCATCTGTGTCGTCTGGCATCTGTGCCATGGTTAACCTAACACCTACGTTCCCACACACACTAGAATCCAGCCAAAGAGAGATGATGGGGTGGGGACCAGTTCCTTGTTGAGAAGAAATAATAATAATTTTGGTTGGAGAGGTTTTTGCTTTTGGTTAGCGTCCTGGGTGACTCTGCAGACTCTAGAAAACTGGTGGGTTGGCTTTGTAGTTCTCTTCATTCCTGGGTGATCTGTTCAAGAACTTTCTCTCACTGACGTTCAGGACAACTGACCTCATCCTTTGATTTTAGGACGAAAACCTCAGGAGACGGAAGCGAACTGGCCATGAGCCAATGCTCTCCTTTGACACCCGGGAAAACGGAGGCCCACAGGGAGGGAGCACCTCGCTCAGGATCTCCCGGTGGATGAGTATGGAGAGCTGACTTGGCCCCCGGGTCCCCGGACTCTGGGGCGGACCCTTCTTCTGCTTGCTCAGAATGAAGGGGGACTTGAAAGAAAGGAGGAGGGTGCGCCACCATGTCCCTGAAACACCCATTTCCCTTCCCAAGAACGAATCAAGTCAAGAGCACAGTGAGCGTGAGCCAGACCGGAATGTCCAGATGAATATGATCTCAATGGACACTGACTCTCCCCGTCTCACGCCCTGAGACCCGGGGCAAGGGTGTCATCTGTGGAAACGGCTTCTTGCTCCTAGACCAAGACAACTGTTCCTTGGATCGCTGGGCATGCAAAGGTGCAAAGGAAGCTCGTGACGTCACTGCGTCCGTAGCTTAGCCCATAAAGCCCCTCTCCCTGAGCTCGGTGGGGAGGACAGGTGTTCGTCCATCCGGACACGGCACCATGGGCATGGAGGTGCTACTGTCCAGCCTGTTGCTACTGGGTCTTCTTTCTTTTCAATAAAGCTCTGACTCACAGGCCATCTCCCTGTCTTCTTTGGTCTCCCAGCAACCCGTCCCTCTGCCCTCTCACAACTGGGTGGGGACGGTACACCTGCTGATCTCCAGAAACTCCCAGGTAGGACTCCACCTGACGGCTTTCGACAGAGCCACATCACTGCGATTCTTGGAATGTCCCGTGAAGGGAAGAGCCTGCCACCCTCCTTGAGGAAGCCGTCACGGCGACTCTCTGAGATGACAAGAGGAGCCTGGGTTCACAAGCTCTTGGGTGGCAGAATCAAGGCTAGAAGCATCCCTTTGGGAGACTCTATTGCCGTTTCCATACGAACACCGTGCTGCTGTTCAGTTGAATCTGGAAGGCTTCGTGGGGGCAAGCGTCATGTGTCAGCAATGACGTGAGCCGAGGTCAGGGGACGGTCGCTGACTTCTTCTCTTTGCTTCTTCCTATCTGAGGTCTGATTCCAGCCAGGGACGTTGGCAGAAAGGGCACAGTAACGTTTGCAGCTAATATTTATGGAAAACTTTCTGTGTGCCAGGTCCCTGTGCCAAGCACTTTCCTTCCATGAGCTCATCCCTCTCTTTCAGAGTAGCCACTGGAGTGGGGAACGTCGTCAGCCCCAGAGGCGGAAACGGAGGCAGAAGGAGGTGAACTGAGATAAGTGAAGCCAGCCCTGGTGCCTGCTGAGATGGACTTAGTTGACACTCAGAGAGGATCAGTGATTTGGGGCACCTTTCTTCGTGTCTGGAACGGAACCACTCCCTTCACGTGACACAAGTGACCTCTTATTTCTTCTTGAAGCTACCGATGCTTTGGGTGTCAACTCTGACCACTTCTTAATCCCTTTCAAGGGTCCCCTTCTTGCTGCCAACCCCCAGTGGCTTCCAAGTCACTGTGATTTAATTATGTCCCCCAAAATTCATGCATTGAAACGTTCCCCCCAAGTCAACAGTGCTGGGAGAGGAGGCTTAATGGGAAGCGTCTAGGACTCTGCCCCCAAGGATGGATCAGAGCTGCCGTCGCAGGAATGGTTTGGCTCTAAAAGTGAGTTGAGCCCCTCTTGCCTTCTCTGGGATGCTCTCTTGACTTGTGGTACATGCTGCCACGTTGGGGGCACAGCAAGAAGGTCTTGCCAGATGCAACCCCTTGATCTTAGACTTCCCTGCCTCAGAATCATAAGCCAGATTAAATTTCCATTCATTGTAAATTACTTCATTTGCGTTTTTTTGTTTTGTTTTGTTTTTTGTTATGGGCACAAATAAGCCAAGACACCAGAATTCTCTGACAGGCCCACAGTCCTTTTTATTAGGCATGCTCTCCTTGGACAATCTTAGCTAATTGCATGCATTTCACATGCATTACTGTTAATGCACGACTAACTCCCAATCCTTGCTGCCTGCCCGAATGCTCCTACAAATCGGGGTAATGCTGGCCTCACAGGGCAAATTGGTAATGAGTCCACCTGCCTGTTTTCTGTAAGAGACTGTGTTGAATTGACAGTATTTATTCCTTCAGTGCCTGGGAGAATTTGAGAGTACAACCATGTGGGAGTGAAGATTCCCTTTTTTTTTTTTTTTTGGAAGACTTAAACTCTGAAATCAATATCTTTCATAGTTTTGGGGCTGTTTTGTTTATCTATTTCTTTTTGAGTGAATTTTGCAAGGAATTGATCCATTTCTTGAAATTAGTCAGTAATGTGAGTAGAGTGGTTCATAATATTCCTATTTTATCCTTTTATCTATAGAGTACACAATGACATTCTCTTTTATTTATAATATTGGCAATTTGTGTCTAGATCTTATTTTTACTTTTTAATAAAATACTTTTTGGTTTCATTGATTTTGTCTTTTGAATCTTATCAATTTCTTCTCTTAACTTTGTTTCTTCTGTCTGCTTTGGGTTTATTTTGCCTAAAAAAATATTTTTTTTTTCTAGTTTCTTAAAGGAGAAATGTAGATTATTGATTTGAGACTTTTAAATGTTTTCAATACAAACATTCGGCACTCTAATTTTTCCTCTAAGTGCTGTTTTAGGTGCAGCTCATCAATTTGGTGCTGTGATTTTGATATTATATGTCTCCCCAAAACTCATGTGTGAGACAATACTAGAAGATTCTGGGGTGGGATGATTGGGTTAGAAGAGCATTAACCTAATCAGTGCATCAATCCCCTGAGAGGGATTAACTGGGTGTGGCTGGAGGAGGTTGGTCCCTGGGGGCATGGCTTTGGGGTACATATCTTGTTCCTTGGTGGGGGAGGCCAGGCTGAGTCTCTCTCTACTTCCTGGTGCCAACCTCCTAAACTGCCTTCCTCTGCCACACCCTCTACCTTGAGTAATCTGCCCCACCTTCAGCCCAGAGCAAAGGAGCCAGCTGCCAATGGACTGAGACCTCTGAAACTGCAAGCATGAAACAAACTTTTCCTGCTCTACCATTGTTCTTGTCGGGTCTTTGGTCATAGCAATGAGAAAGCTGACCAAAACATTCAGTATGTTTTTATTCAGTTCAATGCATCTTACAATTTCTCTTGAGACTTTCTGTTTGTTCCATTGATTACTTGGAAATGCTAATCATATGAAAGAGAATTGGGATTTCCGAGACTTTTCATTATCGTTGAACTTCATGGTGGTCAAGAAATAACCTATGTATAATTTCAATTTATTTTTTTTAGCTTGTGAAAAGTTTGTCTTAGGTTAGAACAGGGTCTAACTTGTTGAGTGTTTCATTTGCATTTGAAAGAACGTGCATTCTAGTGTTTTCAGGTGAAATATTCTATAAATATCTATCAGACCCCCTCGTGATGTTGTTGTTCTGTCTTTATTGGTTTTTTTTTTTTGCCTATCATGTCTATTTATTATGGAAAGGAGTTTAAAAGCTCAAACGTCAGTTGTAGATTTGTCTGTTTCTCTTTTCAGTTCTTTGAGTTTTACTTCATGAATTTTGAAAACTGCTAGTTTGTGTGGACTGTTACTTTTTGTTAAATTGATCCTTTTTTTCACGTATTGTCCCCTTTTACTCCTGAAAACTGTCTTTGCTCTAAAGTCCACTTAGTATAGCCACTCCAGGATTCCCTTTATTAGTGTTTGCATAATATATCAATTTTCTATTTTTTAGAAAACTTATAACCATTATATTTAAAATGACTTTCTTATATGTAGCATATAGTGGGGCCAGGTGCTCTTATTCATTAATTCTGAAAATCTCTGTCTTTTATTTAGTGTATTTAGATCATTTACATTGAACATAATCATTCGTATGTTTTAATTTAGATGTATCTTTTTATTTTTAGTTTTTTGTTTCTTTAGATTTTGTTCCTCTACTTCATCTTTTCTGCCTTCTTTTGTATATGTAAATGTTTTTAGTATTCTCTTTTACTTTCTCTCTTTAGATTTTGACCACACCTCTATGTATAGTGATTTTAATAGTCAAAGAGGGGATTATATTATATGCATTTAACCTATTTATTATCAATTCTTCATCCTCTTGAGTGGATTGCAGGACTATTACTGCCATACAGCCCCCTTTACCCTTCCAACTTTTATTTTGTCTGAGATATTACATCAAATTCATTAAAAATATCACTAGAAAGTGATATATTTTTTAATTTTCAACTATGAAATTTTGTCTTAAAAACTCAAGAGGAAAGAATCATCATTTATATTACCCTAATATTTTCTATTTATTTTATTGTTCTTTTATTTGTTTTTTAATTGAGAAAGAAAAATTATATATTTTTATGAGGTACAGTGGGATTTTGATCTATGTAAATAGCATAGAAAGAGTAAATCAATCTAAAATATCTATCATCTCAACAAGTTGTCACCTTTATTCTTAATATTCTAAGATTAAAAACTTCTTTGGAAATTCCTTTACATAGTTTGTTTTCATAATGTACTATAAAGAATTTTCTTTGTCTTCATCCTAGAATGCTTTTATTTTAAGTACATTTCTGATACAGATCACAAAATATAAAATTATAAAATTCTTTTTCATTTAAAAACATTATAGTAATATAATAATAATGTTGATATTTTTGTTTATTACTAAAATTACAGGGCTTAATATCATAGCACTAACACTGTGGCATTATAGTTCTAGACTTCGTGATTTCTGAAGAGCGACTCAGGCATTTGAATGCTCATCCATTCCTCTTTTGGTAATATTTTTCTCTGTCTACTTTCAAGATTTCTTTTCCCCTTGTCTTGAGTTTCACAGTTTGAGCATGATCTGTCTTTGCATATGGACTTCTTTAAGTGTGTCCTGTTGGGGTCTACTGAGCTTCTTTAAATTTTAGATTTATAGCTTTTGTTAAACTTAGGAAGTTTATTTCTTCAAATATTTTTTTCAGCATCGTGCTCTTTCTCCTCTGCCTTTTGGACTCTGATGACATGAATATGAGATGTTTTGTTATAGTTCTTCAGGTCTCTATTTTGTTTATTTATTAGATTTTTTTCCCTCTCTGTTCTTTAGATTGGTCAATACAGCATAATTCCACTGAATATTTCCTCTATCATCTTCAATATGTAATTAAGCCCATGCAAGGAGATGTTCTAAAAATATTTCAGTTATTGCAATTTTTAATTTCTATTTGATTCTTTTATATATCTTCTCGTTTTTTAATGAGACTTCTGTTTTTCCATTTGTTACAAGGTTGTTTATGGTTGCTCGTTGCAATATTTCTATAATGACTGCTTTGAAGTCTTCGTCAGATAATGACAAGATCTGTGTCACCTGTACTTTGACATCTGCTGATTGTGTTTCCCCATGGGAATTAAGCGTTTACTGGTTGTTGGTAGGCTGGGTAATTTTGAATTCAATTCTGCACCTTTTAAATAGTATGCTCTGTGACTCTGGGCCTCATTTAACTTCTGTGGGAAATGTTAGTATTTTTGTTTTAGCAGGCAATCAATCTCATTAGGTTTAGGTGGCAAGTTCCAGACCTCCTCCTGAGGACTCGAGTTCCAATGGTCAGTTCTAAATAGCTTCACGATGCTGTTTAGGTAGATCAGATGTTTGCTCCACCCAGTGGTCAGTGTAAGGACACAGGCTGTGGGCTGTTAGTTCAGTGCTGAGTCTATTAGTTGTGCTGATCAGATCAGTTCCATGCAAGACCAGGGTGGGTGTGAGCACAGCAGTTCTGGACTGTCCCCTTCCCTGGCCTGCAGTCACTTTCCAGAGCTTGTCTCCCTTACACCCCTGCCACAATATCTGTGCCAGGGGTTCCCCATTTTCCTCCTTTGGCTGGAAAGCTGGGGCTTACGCGACCTTGCTGTGCCTGTATCCTGGGCCCTACTACAGGGGCCGGAGGCAGAAAAAGGGAGGAAGAATACCAGGTGGTGGCTGTATGGGAACTCTACACTATCTTCATAATTTTTCTGTAAGTGTAAAACTGTTCTAAAACACACACACACACACACACACACACACACACACACACACACACTGTAGCCTCTCCTTGGGATCACAGGTGCATGGATCCAAAAGCCAGGTGTTCTCTCTCAGAAGCTTGGCTCTGGTGGCCTCCTAAAGGAACCTCTGTCCACACCACGGTGGGACTGCTTGGGGACTGGGTGTGAGGGGACAGAAAGAAGGGGAAAAATGGGGGCGAGCAGTTTCCTCTCCTGGCCCGGAGCAGGACCTGCAGACGGGTTCTGGAACTCTCTGTTCTTTCCAATGCTCACTTCTCGATTTCCACCACATTGCTTTCAGCCTGGGGACGCTGGGAGAAGGCAGTGCTCCGACCAGCTGGTTTGGTGGCTGGAATTCCACTCTTCTCCAATCCACTCGCCACGATTTAACTTTTAAAAATGATTGACTAGCTGCACCGACAGACATTCTGCATTAGGTCTGTATTAGGTGGGAGAGGGAGGGGGTGTGTGTTATCTTCATTTTTTTTTTGTCTAACTTTTTTTAAACTTTTATTATGACGTATACATAAGAAAAGTGCATAAGGTGTGAATCTGTAGTAGAAGCGTAGGAATGGACCCTGGGAAATAACCTCTCGGGCTCAGAAGGGCCACCTGATGGCTTCCACTCAGCCTCGGTGACAACTCCCTTCCTCCCTGTTGGAAGTGATCAGTCTCCTGACTTTTCTTTTTCTTTCCACCCACACCACCGTGCGAGGTGTTGAGCTATACCTTTTGCTCTTCATATAAATCGAATCGCACTTGATGTATTCACTTAGGCCTGGCCTCTCGGATTCCAGCTGA